CAACTAACTAACTAACTAACTAACTAACTAACTAACTAATAACTAACTAACTACTAATAACTAACTAACGAACTAACTAACTAACTAACTAACTAACTAACTAACTAACTAACTAACTAAACTAATAACTAACTAACTAACTTAATGCCACCTAGTTGTTATCTATACGTCCAATGATGATTCTTTAATAGAGCGTTCGTCCTCAATTCTGCAGACAACTTATTCGGTTGTTTTTAACGGCTGCACGTTGTCCACATTGCTTATATCGACATACAACCACTTCTTCAGACTCCCTGTCCAATGTTGTGTCTCCCGTGTAGAGATCCTTTCGATCTGGAAAGCGACTGAATCATATCGATTTGGGGTCGGTTGTAACAATGTATGTCGATAGTCAAGCTCTCAGAACATTGGGTAGATTGTAGATATGACCTTAGAGACATTAGGAGACTGTTTTACCATTAGACTGTGTTGGATGCCGGGGCACTGGAATGTACATGGTAATGAGGTTGCGGACGATTAGGTTCGAGAGGCAGGGAGAGGATGCTAAAACCACCCATTTGTCACTATAACAGTTTGATATTCGAAAGAATCCGTGACCAGTCCTAGAATTGTTAAATAGATTGCAAAATATCAAAGACCTTATGGCCAGCAATTGTTATGAGAGCTACCAAAATAATTATACGACTGTATATAAGCAGTCTAAAGATTCCTTAGAGGGATGCTAACGAGGCATTGCCAGTAAGTGAGTCAGTTAGGGCCTTTGTCAGTAAGTGGGACAGTAATATTATTGCAAGAGACGATCGAGCATATAATTAGCCACTGTCCTAGAATACAAAATCTCAGGCTGAAATTGCTAGGGAAAAGGTTCCATATTTTCCACCATTTATCAAGGGAATTAGTCATTTCTTTGACTGGGTTTTAATGGGGGGACTTAGATTATATCTCATTTCTTTTCCTTCATTAGGGTATTAACTTTCTTAAGTTTTTGGTTTGAAATCCCTTGAGAATAGATCTGTTTCCATTCATCTATCATCTCTATCTATCTTATTTCCTTCTTGTTTTCTCATAGTGTTTTTGCTTGTTAGTTTTCTCTGTCTTTGCATCTTCACTTTCTTTGAAAGTAATCACAATGTATCTTATGGTCTCCGAGAGGAAATGTACCTTCTTTAGCTAAACCTGTTCTGATCTGAAAATGATAATTATCGTATTTTTTCTCTCACCTGTAGATGTTGCAGGTGTAAATATTGGGCAATCTGAAAGTTATCAGAAGCAAAGTCCACGATAGAATATATTTAAAAATACATTTCGATTTTATAGGGTTAAACTAGAGATCCTGGTTATATGCAAGACTGATAATCAAACGATAATCCTTTCTGTCATATATGTTATCAAGAGACATTTTGTAATCTATTGTTAGTTTAAGTTGTAGAAACGTCAGTGTAGATTGTGTATGCGTCGTCCCTATTGTAGGTGTTCTGATCTATAAAGCCTTATAAAATGTTTGGGTTTTTTATTTCGAAATTACCCCACTGTGGATCGCGTAATTACCACTCAATGGGTTTTTTGGGGTAAAAAAACAATTTGTAAAGATTTGTTTAATAACACCGATGTGCCTTTGTAATAACAAAAACTTATTAAAACCCCAATTTACCCAAAAAAAAAACAAGTACTTAAGTATCTGTTAAAAAATTAATGACAAATGAAACCACAAAATGTTTTTTTTTATTTTTTTATGAAATACTTTTAAAGAAATTTTTATTAGCGATAAATTTTATAGCTTACATATTTTATTTTATTTTTATATACTAAATACATATTACATAGATATACATATATTTATATACTTGGTTTTTTTAAGATATATGAATATAAATTATTATTACTTGTTTGATGTTTTATTAATTAAATTAAGTATTAAAACTTAAATTTGTAATTTTCAATTATTTACTTTTTGTTGATTTGTTTTTTTTTTTAATTTTATTTTATTTTGTTTGTTTAATAATGATTACTTTTTCTTTTTGCTGTTTAATGTTGTTGTTTTTTTTTTTGTTTGTGTGGGGGTTTTTATTTAAAATTATTAATTATTACTTTTTATACGTTTTTGTTTTTTATTTTTTTTTATTTTAATATTTAATTTTAATTTTGTGTTGTTTTAAAATTATTATTGTGTAAAAGTTTTATTATTATTATTAGTACATACAAGACCAGGTATGTAATATTTAATACAAAATAAAATTTATGTTATTTGTATTTTTTAGCTTTTTATTAATTTATTAATCAATAATAAAATAAATTGGAGTTTTTAGATTAAAATTTAAAAAATTATAAAATAATAAAAAAATGAAATTTTAAAATCTTAAATTACTAAAAAAATTATTATTATTATTAAATTATATTATGATTAATTCAAAATAGTACTTGGTACTATTTTGAATAAAAGTATACCAGGGGGGGGGGAGAGTTTCACTTATATGAACTAAACTACATTTTCTTGGATTATAAGTTAAGAAGGAGGAGAGAATGTTAAATGAAATTAGAGAGAAAAGAGAGTGCAAATCAAATCTCTCCTTTTAAGTTTAGAATAAAAGTCATAAGAACTTTAACTCTTATAAAGAAAGTTTATTGAGAATTTAGAAAAATTTCAAAATTTTTATAAGTTTAGCCACAAAGCAGATTTAGCCTTAAGAAAGGCAAAATTTTGATTCCATTTAAGTTTTTTAAACAATTGTCTTTAATAAACTATTCTTTACAGAAGAATTTATTAAAAAGATTTGTTTAAAATTTGGAATTTTTGAACTTATAAAAATATAAAGATTTTTCTTTCATTAGAAATTATTGGCATTTTGTTTTTGTCCGCCTAAAATTTTGTTAAACCTGAGTTTTAGATCATTTTTTTTTTTTTCAAAGAAATTATTTTATATTTTTGTTTAAAACAAGAAAAGATTCTGGAGCAAAGGAAACTAAAGCTATTAGGCTTTAAAGATTTTTAAGCAAACTTTTAACTTAAAACAGCAAATTAAAAAAAAATAGTATTTCTACTACTCTTTTCATATTTAACAAATTTTGCTAAAAACTTTAAAAATTTATTTAAACTCTCAAAACAAGTAATTTTTTCATTTTTTTTGTGCAATTATGTTGTCAAATAAAAATAGTAGTAAATCTACTACTTTTTTTTTTAAATGTATGCAAAGTACTCCAAATACACTTAAAATGTTTAAATAAATCTTCCAACAGCCATAAGACACTAAACTAAAAAAAGTACTTTTTCTACTACTTTTTTTAAATCGTCTACAAACTTGTTAAACATCATTTAACACAATAAATTTAACATTTTATTACTCAAAAAATATGTTATTATAATTTTTCCTGCAAATTTGCCACTAAATAAAAAACTATGTTCAAATAACTTAAAACAGCTTGAATTATCATCCAACTTGCAATTTTATACCCTAAGGCTTAAAATAAAAAAGTACTTTTTCTACTACTATTTTTAAATCGTGTACAAATATGTAAAACCTCCACAAAATATTTATATTTGCTTAAAAAATATATTTTCAATTGTTTTTGAAGCAATTTTTGTACATGGTAGCCAAAATTAAAAAGTACTTTTTCTACTACTTTTTTTTAAAACGTATACAAACTTGTTAAATATCATCTAATACATTAAATTTAACATTTCTTTATTCAAAAAATATTTTTCAATAATTGTTCCTGCCTTTTTGCTAATAAATAAATAGTAGTACTAAATCTACTACTTTTTTAAATTGTTAAAAAATATGTTAAAATAACTTGAAACATCTTTATAAGTCATCAAACTTCCAATTATTCGCAAATTTATACCCTAAGGCTCAAAATAAAAAAAGTACTTTTTCTACTACTATTTTTAAATTGATCAAATTCTGCTCACAACTTTAAAAATAAGTTTAAATGTCCCTAAAATTTTTATTTTTACTACGTTTTGTGATTTGTTAATAAATAAAATAGTACCAAATCTACTACCTTTTTAAATTATATACAAAATTGGCTAAAATAACTTTAAACAATTTAATTTGTCTTTCAAATAGCAAGTGTTTGCAATTATTAACCATAGGACTCAAATTACGAAAAAGGTACTTTTCTACTACTATTTTTATATTGTATGCAAACTTGTAAAAAATCCTCAAAAATAAATAAATTCCATAAAAAAAATATTTTTAATTGATTTCACACAATTTTTGTAAAAAGGGCTAGAAATAAGAAAAACGTACCTTTTTTCTACTATTATTTTTAAATTGTGTAAAAACTTGTTAAAAATCATCAAAAAAATTAAAATTTCCTTAAACATATTGATTTTTAATTATTTTTACACATTTTTTTACATTAATTACAATATAAAAAGGTAGTATTTCTACTACTATTTTTTAAATAAGTGGCAAATGTATGGAAAATATATTAGAAATTGTTTTGCAATTTACAAATTTGGTGCAAAAGTTTAAAAACGTACTATATCTAGTACCTTTTTAGATTTCATTCCAAACTTAAATGATTTTGTTTTTTAAGAAAAAATACAAAATTGCATAATTTTATTTAGACAAAAAATAAAAAAGTAGTATTTCTACTACTTTTTGTAATTGTTGTCTAATATCCATAAAATCTGGATTAAAGGAACCTATATTTTATAATTTTTTTCAAGTTTAGCACAAAAATTTTAGTTTTTTACTACTTTTTTACAAATATTTCTAAAATTTGCTAAAAATGTGGAAATTGGTTAAATTTCTCTAAAATAAACATGATAATGCCATTTTCTCACTTAGAAAACATAATTTAAAAAAGTAGTATTTTTACTACTGTTTTGAAATTTGTAGTGAAAAATATGTTAAAAATTATGTATTTTGTTTAAATTAAATTTTTTATGCAAAAATTGTACTTTTATGAAATTTAAAGCTAAAATAAAAAGTGTTAATTTGTTGAAAAGATCTAAATATTTTTGTTTTGTTTTAAACAACAATAATAAAGTACTTTTTTCTACTACTTATTAAAAAACTGAAAGTCCTGCTTTTTTGTTAAACTTTACTTTAGCTTCTCCTCAAAATCTTTTCTTGTTTTAAGGTCTAAACAAAATGTTTCTAGTTAAAAGGTAAAAGTAGCTAATATTCCCTGTTATTTCGAAACAATTGAAACAACCACTTTGGAATACTAGATAGTTTTACCTGGTGTTTTGTGTGGAAGTGTTTGGTGGATATAGAATTTCTATTCTACTTAATATTTTTCTGTTTATGTTTATTATAAATTTTAAATATTTTTTTCTTTGCTTCTATATATAAAAAAAAAACAATTTCAAATTGTTTACCTATAAAACTAACATGTTTTTGTTGTTATTCTACATTTGCTTTTGTGTTTATAATTATTATTATTTTTTTGTTTTAATTATAAGAAAATGAAAAATAGTAATATATATTTATATGCATGTTTCAAAGTTTTCAAAAAAAAAGTAGAAAACTTTTTTTTACTAAATTAAGACGAAAAAAAATAAAAATTTAAAATTTTTTAATTTTTTCAAATAAAATTTTTAAATCAGCTTACTACAGTGGAGGCATTAAGTGATTCTTGTTGTTTACGCTGTTGTTGCTGCAGATGTTGTTGTAGTGTCATTGTTGGTGGTAGGGATTGTTGCGGTTGTTGTTGTTGATTAAACGATTTGTGCTTTTTATTGGTAGTAGTAGTTGTTGCTGTGGTTGTTTTAGTTACATTAGTAACTGTTGTTGTTGTTGTATTATCCTCCTGCTTCGCATGATACTATTGTGTTTTGTCCTTGCCCGCACCACCGGCAGTCACACTTAGACCCAATAGATGATCACCGGCCAGCAGACCAGCTGCTGCGGCTGCTCCCGGTTGATGGGCATAGTTACGTATTTGATGTAGCGATATTAGTTGTGTAGGGAAGCCCGCAGCTGCCGCGGCATTCTGCTGATAAATGTAGGCCGCCGCAGCGGGAGGTGCTCTCTGTTGGGCCAAGGCGGCCGCTTGCAAATGGGTCGGTGCAGTGGGAATGGGCGTAAAAGCTGATGTTGTCTTGACATCATAGGCAGATGAATTCACAACCACCATATTATTGGGCGAATGTTGCTGCTGCTGTTGTTGTTGCTGCTGTTGCTGTTGTTGCTGCTGCTGTTGTTGATGATGCTGCTGTGATGTCTGGCGTATCACTAAATCTTCACCCTGTTCATTGGGACTCTGTGAGTGATTGGGCGTATTACCGCTGGCCGCACTATCACCACCACCATTAGCGGTACCATTCACCAGACGTTGATGATGCTGCAACAATTCCTGTTGTTGCTGTTGATGTTGTAGTGTGGTGAAGTTATAGCCATTTTGCTGTTGTTGCGCCTGCGCTTGGGCCTGTTGCTGTTGTATGGCTTCCGCCAAGGTGGCAGCATTAACGGCACCATCTGCCCCCACTTTAGCCCAATAGGCTGCATTGGCATCGCCAGCCACGGCGGCCGCATTCATTACCACTTGACGCTGCAAACTTAAACCTATACCGCCGGCCGGCACATGATGCTGTACATTGAGATTGGCATGTCTTTGCTGTTGTTTTTCCGCCTTTTCGGCATGTTTCTGCAAGTGTTTCTCCAGATATGTTTCCTGTGTATACGATTTGCCACACAAATTGCAAATGTGTGTCTTCAAGTGTTTCGAATCTTTGTGTTTTGGTATGTGCTCGAGCAGAGTCATCTCGTCGGTAAAGCATTTGTAGCAAGAATTACATTTGAACGGTTTGTCCGTTTGATGGCACCGCGAATGCGACTGTAGATTGGAGAGTTGTGAGAAGGCCTTCGGACAACCGGCATGACGACACTTGTACGGTTTATCGCCCGTATGCGTGCGTATGTGCTGTTGCAGATGTGACAATTGGGTGAATTTACGTTGGCATATTTCGCAGCGGTACGGTTTGATGCCCAAGTGAATGCGTGTATGCTGGGAGAGGTACGATGAATTGGCGAACGATTTTGTGCATTGAGTGCATTTATAGGGTTTAGTTTCACGTCCATCCGGCGAGGTATGATGATGTGAACGATGGGATTTTTGCTGCTGATGATGATGTTCAACACTGGCATTCGGATCGTACTGGAAATTAAAAAAGGAATATTATTAAAAAAATTTTATTTTTCTTTTGTAATAAATAAAATATTAAATTTTTTTCTTTAAATTTGTGAAATATATAAAAAGTAGTATTTCTACTACTTTTTGAAATTGACTTGTTAAAACGTTTCAAATTTTTATTGTTTCAATAAAAACGAAAAATTAACAATTTTCCCCAATTTAACTCAAAATAAAAAAAGTTTTACTACTTTTTTAAAAATTCTATAAAAATCAAAAAAATACATATAGAAATATTTAATTTATCTAAAAATAATAATTTTACATGTTTCTACCTTTTAAAAAAAAAGTACTATTTCTACTACTTTTTTACATTTCCACCAAAATTTACTAGAACTTTCAAAAAGTTTAATTTCGTTTATAATGGTGTAAAAAAATAAAATTTTATCAATTTTGACTGAAAATAAAAAGGTAGTAGTTCTACTACTTTTTAAAAGGCTAATAAAAACTTAAGAAAAAACATGGGGAAATAGTTCATTTGTTTTAGACACATTTCTCTCTGTTTTACAAACATTTCTCTCTGTACATTTTGCTACTAGTTCAAAAAGTACTATTTTTACTACTTTTTTAAATTTTCATCAAAATTCATTAGAACCTTCAAAACGTTTAATTTCCTCTAAAATAGTGCAAAATATTAAAATATTATCCATTTTGGCTGAAAATAAAAACGTAGTATTTCTACTACTATTTTAAGACTTGTTTAAACTCAACAAGTTATATGAAGAAATAATTAATTTGTTTTAAAATTTCCTTTCCGAGCACTACTTTTTCAAAAAGTACGATTTTCTACTACTTTTTTAAATTTCCCTCAACATTTAGCTAAAAATTTTAAAACGTTTAAATTTCATCAAAAGATGCAAAAAATACAAAAATATTAACAAATTTCGTTAAAAATAAAAAGGTAGTATTTCTACAACATTTTTAAAAACTAATTAAAACTCAAGAAAATACATGGGAAGTAGCTAATTTGTTCTAGAAACATGTTTCTGTACATTTTGCTACTTTTTCAAAAAGTACTATTTCTACTACTTTTTTAAATTTTCCCCTAAAATTAGTTAAAACTTTTAAAAAGTTTAAATTTCGTCAAAAGATGTATAAAATACAAAAATGTTAAAATATTGCACTAAAAGTAAAAAATAGTACCTTTTTTCTACTACTTTTTAAAAACTAATTAAAACTCAAGAAAATACATGGGAAGTAGTTAATTTGTTCTAGAAACGTCTCTCTGTACATTTTGCTACTACTACTTTTTTAAATTTTCTAAAAGATGTAAAAAATACAAAACTATTAACAAATTTCGTTTAAAATAAAAAGGTAGTATTTCTACTACTTTTGTAAAAACTAATTAAAACTCAAGAAAATTCATGGCAAATAGCTCATTTGTTCTAGAAACATGTTTCTGTATATCTTGCTACTTTTTCAAAAAGTACTATTTCTACTACATGTTTTTTAATTTCCTCCAAAATGTTGGCTAGAACTTTTAAAACGTTTAAATTCTTCTACAATTAAGCACAAAATTCAAATTGTATCAATTTTTGGCTGAAAATAAAAATGTAGTATTTGTAGTACTTTTTTATAAACTTATTAAAACACAAGAAAACACATAAATAAATAGTTAATTTGTTCTGGAAACATCTCTCTGTACATTTTGCTACTTTTTCAAAAAGTACTATTTCTACTACTTTTTTAAATTTCCGCCAAAATTTGACAAGAACAGTTAAATTCGCCAAAAGATGTGTAAATTACACAAATTTGATCAAATTATACTGAAAATAAAAAGGTAGTATTTTTACTACTTTTTTTAAAAAAATATATAAGTAAAGCAACTCACCTTCTGTTCGGGTTGTTCCGCCATATTCGGTGTTTGCGGTGAATTTGGTGGACTATAGGATTGTTTCAGTTGCTGTTGTTGTTGCTGCTGTTGCTGATGATGTTGCTGCTGCTGTTGATCGTGGGCCTGCTGTTGTTGTTGCTGCTGCTGCTGTTGATGTTCAACAACCAATTGTTGCTGCTGTTGTTGTTGCTGCTGCAAATTAACACCCACCAAACCGTTCTTCAACGAATAATCCAAACGCTCAACATTCTGACGAAACTCATTGATATTAAACGGTTTATTGTATTCGTGCACTAATTGTGCGGTTCGTAAATCGGCTGTGGTCAAATGACTCAGCGACGAGAGAACGCCACGTTCATTCATCGAACGTAATTGATCAATGGTGGAGCGATGTAAATAATCGTTGGCTGACGTTGTTAATGAAGGATAAACAGTTGTTGCTGCTGCCGCTGTAAGGGCTGAAATATCAGCCATTAATATGCGTTAAAAGCACAAATGAATAATTTAAAATTGTGAAAAGGGGGGAAGTCTTTTTTTTAAGAGAGTTGGAGCAAGGGTGGTTGGTTGGTTGGTGGTAACAGCTTTTAAATTTAATGCTGGAATTTTAATTACCAAACACGTTGCTGTTGCAAGAGTTTTGTTTATCAACTGTTGTGTTTATTGAAAAAAATTGTTTAAAAACCTAAAAATGAAAATAAAATAAAAGTTAATTTTAATAAAAGTTTGAATTTTAAATTCATTCATAAAAATTTTTTTTAATAAATAAAGCTTAATCATCACAAAATTAACATTTTTGCAATTATGCGTAAAAATTGTATATACAATTTTTTTGTTAGTGTATTTTTGATATTTTTATCAGTTTTTTTTTTTTCTTCTCCATAGGAAATAAAAAAATTAAAAATTCAGCAAAAAAATGTTGCTGGAAAAAGTAGCACAAAAAAATTCTGAATTTGCAAAAACTTTTAAATTAAATAAATAAAAAAAATCTAGGCGCACTGTGCCACAAAAAACATAATAAAATAAAACACATAAACAACGAATTTTCGAAACATTATTAAGTAATTTAGGAAATAAAATGTATAAATCATAAACTTTTTAGACTTAGGCGCAATTTACATGAAGACTTTTCAGACGTCTGTTTTTTCCAATTCTCTTTTGAGAATCTTCCAAAAAATCATGAACATTTATACGGTGATTTTTTACATGCAACTATGCATGTCTTTTTTTTGATGTTTAATTGTATAATCCTTTTTAATTACTTATTCGTAATAAAAACAAAATTAAATTTTTAACATAAAAACCATTTAATTTGATTTAAAAAAATTTAATAACACGCTACAGTATTTTTTTTAATGCAAATTTTAATGTTTTCATGTAAAAAAAAGACATAATTATTTTTTTACATGAGCATAATATCAACAGTACGAATGAGTTTAAAGCGGAATGTCAAAAACAATCATGAAAATCCCAAATCATGTTTGTTTTCTTACCCCCCATTCTTCTCTACCCCGCTCATCACCAATCATCGACAAACATGAAAACAGACGTCTGGGCAAACATGAAAAAAATCATCATGTAAATTGGGTGTTAGAACTATTAACTCAAAATGCTTAAGTGTTCATTGTGTCTTAAATATTTCTCCTCTCTTTGCTATATGGCGTTATAAAGAGAAGAAATAATCAAAATTAAGAGCGAAAAGTTAATTTTAATTAAATTTTCTTAAAATTAAATTAAAAATCAACAACAACTTCCTAGTTTTTAAAATTTTTATCCACCTGTTACCAAAACTATTTAAAACCTATAATACACTACATTTTATAGTTATTTTATTGAAAATTTTCCTACTCAACAAAAACACTTTTAAAATTAACATAAAAAATCAGCATATTTTTTATACATTTTTAAAAGAAAGAAAAAAATACTAAGCGCCGATTATTGATTAAACAAATGCAAGCTCTTTTGATTATTTAAACAAAATTTATAAAAAAAAATAAAAACGAAATAATTGTAAAAACACTTTTGTTTTATGCAAAAAAAAAAAATGCACATAATTATTAAGACAGATATGGTGGAAAGTATTGCAAATTTTGTAAAAAAAATATATTAAATTTTATTAATAATTAAACAAAAACCTAATTGTTTGAAACTTGAAGTGAAGAATATTGGTTAATAAGTTTAATACAATAGTTAATAAATTAGTGACAAGAAGGTCACAATTAAACACTGAAAAGAGCCGCCATCTTTCTCCGAAGTATCCAAGAAAAGATGGCGGGAAGATGATGATAGTACGTCGGGAAAAGCCCCATTAGACTAGCACGGTATGGTAGGGGACTGGACAACTATAATATAGTGTTCAACGCTATCGCTACAACTTGTTGGAAGAACTCATTCCTCCTCATGGAAAGCTTAGCTACCAAATGACACCTCAAGAAGTTCTTAAAGTACAGAAAAGAGGAAAATGAGGACACTCTGCTACCTTAAAGAACAGTGGCTTGACTCTTTTTGCCTCTAAAGCTGTCATCTTCAAAATTAGGAAGATTTCTATTGGAAGGGCTCTTACCACACCGAACCATTAACAACAGATTGTCGTTCCCACTAAAGTTTTTACTACATTATATACCTTTTTTAAAGGAATACATCATTAAGACTTCAGTCGAGTATGGACGTTCAAATTTCCTGTATATGTACGAGTTGCGATTTAACTTATCCTGCTGATAGCTACGTATCACGTTGTTCAAAATTTTTGTATATGTACGAGTTGCGATCTAATGGATCCTGCTTATATCTGCATATGTTCTCCTCATAAACGCGAAAGTTCTTCCTGACATGCCTGGGCGGAGCTTTTAATTGTGGAAAGTTAAAGGTAGGTGTTTATACAACATCAAACCTAGTCCTAAAATGCGGGGCATCTATAAACGAGAAGACGAAACATTTCATAATAGGACTGTACTGGACATCAACAAATTCCTGGTATTACCATTGCGGACTCTCTTGCCAAAGTGGGCCCCTCACTAGCAAGAGAGCACACCAATCTTTTTGTCGGCATACCGCTCTCAACCTGCTAACGCTCCTTACGTGAAAAACTGTATGAGCTTTCGCAATGCAGTTGGTCGAACGAGGCCACCTGCAGACAGATGAGGACCATGTGGCCATCATTCAACCCAAAATGATCCCAAGCTCTTTTTCATGTTTCGAGAGTAAATCTACGAAACTTAACAGCAGTGGTGACTGGGCATGTTGGCTTAACTTACCCAGTGATGATTTCTGGGTTCACTTCCTCTGTCATTGCCCCGCCCTAGCTGATCATAGATTGAACCGGCTAGGTAGCAATTTCTTGCATGACAAACTGGTTTTGTTTAGGAACTCAGAGTACTTAGGTCGAAGTGTACTAATCCGCTGACCTTTTCTCTCACAAAGGGATCAATATACTGGACCCAAGTGTGTCCTCAGTGAAGACATCGCGAGGAAGGCCTGCTAACCTAACATATGACCCCTCCGGAGACATCCCAGGAGAAACTGTTTGGTCAGCATTATTATTATTATTATTATTATTATTATTTATATATATAGATGTTGTTTTTGCACATTATTCTGTAAGCCGATGACAGCCAAAAAACTAGGACTGGACTAAAGACTAGACTACGGACTGAATATCACTAAAAGATCATGTTATAGATGTAGAGGTATATGTCTCTATTACTTTCGGTCGTTGCCCTTCCGGCGCCGCTATAATATTTCAGGAGTTGCTTTTTTGTGTATTTAAAAGTTCTAGAGGAGATTTAAAACAAAAGCCTCAAAAACTCTGTAGATGAAATGCCTTTTGGTTGAAGTTCACTTTCTAAACCAATTAACGAAATAGTTTTTTATTATTGTTATCTATTTTTATTAAAATTAAACTTTGTTAAATCACCTTAAAAAACGTCCTTAATCCCATTAACTTTATTAAAATTCAACCTTTCATCCAATTCACTCCTTTTTTTATTAACACTCTCAAACAAATAAAAACAAAACAATAAAATATGTGTATCAACTTAAATAACGGCATTTAGTATGAATGACATGTGAGTAAAAATACCAACAAAAAAATGCACAATATTTACAAACAAAATATCTATAGAAAAAAATAAAACTCGGAAATATAAACAAACGTATAGCAACAACAACAAAAAAATATAACATAAAAATAACTGGAATACAAAAAAAATATTTGTGATTATTTGTTTTTGTACGTCTTTATTTCTAAATAATAATAAAAAACCCTAAACAAGCCGGCTGGTTGAATGATTGACTTTTTTTTAGTATGGTTGACCACAACCATAGAAACGACCAAAGACTATAAGGCGAATAAGCAGAAGAAGCAAAAAAATGAAATAACAGAAAAACAATTAAATCAGTCGCATGCCAAATTGTTGGTGTTTCCCTGTTTAGGCGATTTTTTTCAGTCATGTTACGTTTTTCTTTTTTTTTTGTTCTGTTTTAGAGAGAATATGTGTGTGTGTTTTTTGCATTCACTTATTTCACCATTAAATAAGAATTGCAAAAAAAAGAATACACGAAAAAAAACGAGAAAAGAAAAAAAAAACACCCCGTAGTTGGAAAAAATCATTGATTGTTGAATTGGTTTTTATGAGTGTCTATATGTGTGTGTATTTTAATATTATTTTTCTTTTTTTGTTCCTTTCTTGTGGGTTTTTTAGCGTAAATCAAAATATTTATTATAGTCTGTGCAAAAAATATTCTTTTTTTTGTGTATTTGTTTTTGTAAAACATTCTTATATACAAATATTGAGCAAAAATGAAAAGAATATAAAGAATATTGTATAAAAAAGGCATAGTATTATAAACAGTTTTTTTTTGTTTAAATTTTAAATTGTCGTGTGGCAAAAGATCTTAATTTATGACCTGCAATAAAATTAGATTTTTTTTCAGAGGTTTATTTTTTGTTCTTTTTATCTTTAAGAGTTTTTTTTCGAAATACATACAAATAAAATATGCAATTTTGTTGTATTTGAGAGGGACGATGACCAAAATTGAAACAGGCATGGAAAATTTAAATTTTGAAATAGTAGGTACTAACTTATATCAAAAAGGGTACTTTTTTTTGTTTTAAAGTACTAAACTAATTTTTCACTAGAATATAGACTAGACAGTATACTCTATACTAGATTATAGAATAGAGTACAGACTAGATTGTAGAGTAAACTATAGACTGTACTATAAACCAGACAATAGGCTATACTATAGAATAGACAATAAGTAGAATGAATAGGTATACATAGATGACTTATAGACTAGAATATAGACTACAACATAGACTAGAATATACACTAGACTACAGAATAGACAATAGACTAGACTTTAGATTACACTATAGACTAGAATATAGACTAGATTATAGACTAGACTATAGACTATACTACATACTAGACTATATACTAGACTATAGACTAAACTATAGACTAGACTATAGGCTAGACTATAGACTAGACTATAGACTAGACTATAGACTAGGCTATAGACTAGACTATAGACTGGACTATAGACTAGACTATAGACTAGACTATAGACTGGACTATAGGCTAGACTATAGGCTAGACTATAGGCTAGACTATAGACTAGACTATAGACTAGACTATAGGCTAGACTAAAGACTAGACTATAGGCCAGACTATAGACTGGACT